AATGTGTTTCAATATCTTTAAGTAATGTGTGCACCTTTAAGGATATCTGTGTATGTCAGGTGGGGGTATGGGAATGAGAGGCAGGATTAACAGACCCGGAGACCTAGTTCAGACTGGAAAATATACTGTAGAGCACGGGAAGGAGTATGGGTTTAACAACGAATGAACGTAGTTCTGAGCTGTGGTGTCTTGATCTCTCCTATGATTAATTTTGAGGCATGCGGCAAATACTTTATTAGTAGCAGTAAAGCTCAGAGCTTGGGAATAATTTACTTTTGAAATATATTAGAGCACCTGGGAATGTCTTTCTCACGTGTGTTTTGCTACGTCTTCTTGAGTTGCAGAGAAAGGGGCGGAGTTACAGCTGGCATGCCTAAATATGCAGACGGTTCTGGGCACCGCAGTGGACATGAATGAGGCTGCTTGAATGAACAGCATTCATCATCTACCATGCTTGTCATAAGAGGAGAAAAGGGCGCCAACTGCTGCTACAGGTGACTGGGAGCCACTGGAAGTTTTAAAGCACGGGGTGGCATGATTCAAACCATGTTTTTGAAAGTGAACTAGGAAACAGGATATAAGTTTAATAATTAGATGTGCATAGACAGATTCCCCGAAGCAAATGTTTTAAATTATTTTAAAGTTGCTTGACTCTCAGGTTGTACTTCATTCATCTCGTCTCAGTTACAGCTTGTCCGTTCGGTGGCTGTTCTATACTCGTTCACCAGCTCCTGAAGATCTGGATGGGTGTCCGGGGAACCGTGAACCTCATACAATACAGATATCTGATACCTTTCATCAGCCTCCTACAGCCCAGAACCACTACAGCTAGATGGAATTTCTTAAGGGCAAGGATTATGCCTCATTGCCTGTTTTGTCACCAGGGCTTGCGCAGGGCCTGGCCCACTGTAATGGCCTAATAAATGCACTAAACTCAACTCTGTGCCCCAGTCTCTATTTGTTTATGTTGTCAACTGTTATTTAGACATATTTGTAATCTTTTCATTCACTTGTACTACCTCTTTTTACCCCTAGAACCTAAGCTGAAGACAGTGTGAAGAGACTCAATCAAAATGCTAATTTGCTATTCATTTTCCTTAAAGACAATAAACAAATGTCATGTTTCCTGGAACTTTTCTACTCAGTGGTCCACAAACAGGTACTGGAAGTTAGGATCTCATGAAGGTGCAGACACCCTAATTCTGATATAAAATATGCAGTGTCCAAAATAAACACATCTGGAGTCAAATGTGGATTCCATTAAATACTACAAATATTGTGTAAAGAACCTTAATCTGGCTGTGAAATAATCTCAATTATCAATTGACCTAGATTGGTAAAGCACTCGAAAATCTGCAAAAAGCATTGACTGACAGGTAGCTAACAACCTATTTTGTCACATATAAGAATCTTTTTTTGTGGGAAATTTTCAAGAAGAAAAAGTAGGATAAATATCTAGAACATATTTATTAAAACATACTTTTGGTGAATTTTCAAAACACTAAAGATGATATGTAAGGAAATACGTAAGAGGTAACACTGTGAGCAATCTGGCTCTTTTAGTACCGAGACAATGCAAAGAACTATTTTGTGCAAAGCAGGAACGTTCAGAGAAATTATATTAAATTTCATTAAAAATATCATTGCATATTTATTAAGATTACCTACCCAAGACTTGAAAACTTTCAGGATCTAGGTCTCTGTGTTAAACTACAAATTCTAAAATAGTTAAAGGAAAACTGAGTTTATTTTCTCTTCTGTGAACACTAGCTCAGTTACCTGAGGTTTTGGCTTCCAGTGTAATCAACTTTTTATTAGGCAGTTAAAGGCTATTCTTTTTAAAATTAAATGAACAAGAATCATAGCCGTCATTGAGGACTACAGATATGGAATGAAGATTAACGTTTTCCCAGTCCCTGCCCATCTCTACAAGAGAACCATAGAATGCTGGAACAGGACAGGCTCGTCCTGGGTCATTTTCTCCACTCACAAGAAAGGAACTATAGGCTTGGGCCAGATTTCAATCATCAGTATCAAGGATGACTATTTTCTGTTCCCCAATTAAGGAATATTTCTAATTCTTATTAAAAACTGTATGATAAAATATATCTGGGTTCTAACTTAAACTTCACATTTTCAATCAAGGAAAGTTTAAAAATTTGAGTTCAGCTCCTTTTTAACCTTTATTTAAAAAGTGATCTAGTATACAACCAATGTTTTAGGCTTACCTTTTTAATTTGACAATTAAATACAAATTTCTGACACGTGACCTTAGGCAAGCCATTCCCAACTCTAAGTGTCAGCTGCTCTAAATTCAGATGTCAAGTGATAGGATGATTTCAGAAGAATTCTTGCTTTCATTATAAATAAAAGTAAATGTCCAGCCTCAGATTCTACTATATATTTAGAAAAAATTTACTACTTTCAGAAAAAAATGAAACATTGCTGTGAGAATTGTATCAATAAATCACTAAGGATTAATGAATTACACCTTTTCAGGAAAGATTAATGTTAGTGATCAATGCTGCTTTCATGTAAAATTATTAATAAGCATTTAAAAGGGCATTCATTTATCTGTGTACATAAAGACTAACAGAATTAGACAAAATTGAGACAAAAATATAATTTCAAACCTAGAACTATGACTTGACTTCACTGTGGTGAGGCTCTTCACATTTACTCTTAAGGAAAAGACCTAATAAAGTCACTAGAAGATTTCAACAACAAGAACAAAATAGAATGGTTGCGTTTTCTATGCTTGCGGATTCTCATTTAGTGAGGAAAAGACGCCTTATTTTGGTCAGGGATTGTTATTCACTAGATGTGCTAACAATAACTGTAATTAAAACTATAGCAGAAATATTTATACCCAAGTGAGAAAGAAAACAAGAGTTAATTATAATGTTTTATTTAGTGGGAGTGAAGTAAGGAAGAGTTAAGACATACCTAGGGGCTCAGAAGTGTTAGCAGACTTCCTTTTCTTTTAAAACACTAATTTCAAATAAGATCTTCATTTCAGTCAAGTTGCTTGGATACCGATTTGAGAAAGCATGACCAAAGGCAATCTACCCCTAGTTATTACAACTGCAGATGAGATGATGGGATGATTGGAAAAAACCCAGTCATCTTCTTATCTATCTGTTATTTTATTTTAACGTGAGAGTCAGAATAACAAAAAATAACAGTGATTAAAAATCAAGACTTGGAGCAAATCTGCCTGGATTTGAATCTTAGTTCCTTGAGCTGGTGGAACTTCGGATATGTGATGTAACCTTTCTATGCCTCAGTTTCTTCCTCTATAAATGGGTTTATAAATAGGGGTTGTTATGGGAATTAAATAAGTTAATGTATCTAAAACCCTTAGCCTGGCTCACAGTAAGGGCTATGAATGTTTGTTTTTATTATTCTCCTCCCCTCCAGAGATGAAAATTCAGCCTATTGAATGCCTTATTTTATCCCAGAATTCTACAAGACTTGAACCTGGAGGTAAGCATATGATCGAAATACATTAAAAGTATGGGCTCTGAGTCATGAAAAAGTTGTCCATAGAAACTAAGTACAATTTCAATGTATCCTAAGAATATTTAAAGACTCTCTCTTATCTGATGGGAAGCATCACACAAGCACAGATGCATTTTCTGAGGTCCAGAGGTGTGTAGCGTATGCTGAATCAGGCTTCCTGATTAGGAATAGCAGTCTACTCATATTTGATAGTGAGAGTAACTATCTGTAGCTTTACATTTATCTTTCAGTGAATGTAGTTTCCAGAAGGCAACTAGAATGAAGACTAAGATTTTCTTTCTACTCTAATAATGCTATCTCAATATAGACCTCAAAGTAACGGTAGAAACCTAACTATGTTAAGTGTAAAAAGAAGTGCATTTGCATCTCAGTTTACCGGGATGCATATTTTCACACTGTATATCTTATATCACAGGAAAACATCAAAGCAGATCAATGTAAGTGATTTGAAGAGCCACAAATTCCCATTATGATAGAACACTACTAGGTCACTTTTCTCCGTTTATCAAATTCGAGGGCCAAATTTTGCAGCTTTCCTACACATTGCAAGAAAATTCTGTCCTGGATGCTGCTTCAGTTAAAATAATTAGTACTTAGTTCTACTACTTTGGCATTTAAATTTTTAAAATCTTAATCCAACATGACAATAATGGTAGCAATTCTAGTCATAATTATTAATAATACAACATTTATTAAGTGCTTTTCTTCAATTAGAGTTAGATATTACATTGTGTTATGGTAGAGTGAAAGAAAATTGAAAAGAAAAAGGCTTTTAGAAATAGCTTAGCTAAACATGAGTTTTGCTATTTTGCATTTAACTTTTTTAAAAGATTTTGAATCAGAGTAGTGAAATAACACTAAATCATTTCAGAAAGGAAATACATACACATTTTCTTCCTATAATTAGAATTTGTGCTGTATGTTTCTACAACTCATTGCTATATTTATTTCAGTGACATTCACCCACACACTTAAAATGAAAGGAAACTTCCTGAACCAGATCCTGGAGAAATATTTTTCTCCTGGGCACTGCCATTTTGACCACATGGAAGGTATGAGAAGATTTGGCAAGTAAATGTATTTCAAGTATTTTAAGTATTTTATTATTTCTTTCTGAGAAAACCTAAGTAGGTTTTAGGAATATAATTCCTTAAGTCAAACTATGAATTTTATCTTGACACTTATGATGCCTATAAATATCATTATAACTATTTCAAATCAAAGAGTAACAAAGGCAAGTCATAGACGTCTAGAAACTGTATTTTTGGTGGTGAGCACACTGTAGGGCATACAGAATTAGAAATTTAATGTTGAAACATATATAATGTTATAAATCAGTGTTACCTCAATAAAAAATAAACAAATAAATAAATAAGACGATTCCCAGAATAAAGCGCGCTGTGACGCTAACATTTCACACGTGAACAGAACTGTATTTTCACCAGAGGACTTTCCCTTCTTCTTTCTTTCTTTCTTTCTTTTTTAAATAGACAGGGCAGTTAGATTTATTTTGAAACAAAAGCTTTGTTGGGCTGCATCACATGCAGGAGAAAAACAATACTTGGAGTTGCACTCTCTCTGGCATCAGATCGACCAAGATCCTTCTTTTGCACTACGTTAATTATCAGTATGTGTAACAGTGCAGTATGTTGCAGATTTCTCGGCACCATACTCAGAGATGTCAATTCACTTGTTCTTTAGTAGGATTCAGGAGTCTAGATTTTTCATAAGCACCTTAGGTAATTCTGATGCAAGGAGGTCCAGGGACCACCTCTTGAGAAACACAGTTTTAGCAGATAAATTTAGAAGGAGTTTGAGCAGGGCTGAGGATGCTTAAACACGAAAGGGTCAAAAATCTGGGTTCCAGTTAACATCACATATCGACTATTAGGCCAGTCCTAATGGACAATGCTTGAAACTTTTGTGTGAGCAAGAGCCACTGCATGCTAATTTTTTTTCAATTATAAATAAAAATCAGCTGGGTGTTGAATAATTTATGGCTTCCTGCAAAGCTGTATTTGAAAACATCAAGCTGGCAGCCTGTGCCATTCCAGCCCACGCATGGACAGCTGCCATGCACGCGTATCCGTCACTTTTTTGGAGATTATCTCCACATGCTGTATTATCTGGCTTTCCACATTAGCAAGTAACATGAAACACAATCGATATCACAGAAGCCACACACAATTAAAGACAAAGATGAGGCATCCATAGCTTGCTGGTACAGAAACCTGAAGGGAATAAGGTATTGTCCTCTAATTATGGAAGCCAATCCTGGTTAGAAGCAAAGATAAATCTGATAGTTACTGACTTGCTGGAAGTCCCTTCAGATATAACTACTCAACTTTCCAATTAAGATAGCAATTGATAATGGAACTTAAGAAATCAAAGTCACAAAAATGGTTACATTTTACAAGTCAATTGGATGAGAATGCTCAAAGTTTAAGATTCCTTTGAGAGGAATTTAGTTACCTTAAAAGAAAGTAGTGTATAACCATTTCATACACGGGGATTTTATACATCAGGTCTGTATTTTCAGTTTATTCCCATTGAGTTAAATGGAGAATACTGATTTGGTAAGAGTCTGTTACCCCAAATTTCATACGACACCTTCCCCAACATGATCCAAAGGTTTTTGGTCCTGGTAATTCTGGCTCCTCAACTGGATGTAGTATTGGACCAAAACAAAGGAAAAACTCCTCAAATAAAGATGATATCTGATAACCCAACGAGTAATCTTTTTTCTAATGACAAGTGCTTTTTACTGGTAAGCTTTTTCACCCATTAATTTTTATTCCCTTCAGATTTTGCTAATGTGGATTGTAGCATTTCACATTTTACTCTTTAAAAGAAGCCCTAAACGCACCTCCTGTGTGTTCTGGCTCCCAGGTGCCTTCACCAGGTAGGGGCTGCTGTAATGACAAAACTCTGCTCTCTGCTGGCCTCAAAGTAGATTCTAGTCTGTGGAATTTGTGAATTCTGTCTCTGACAAGAATAGCATTGCCCCTCTCCTCACGTTCTGCACTCTCTCTGGCATCAGATCGACCAAGATCCTTCTTTTGCACTACGTTTGCAATCTCAGCTACCAGGTCTGACTCTGACTCTGCCTTTTCTGTCGGATTGTACTTATGCACATGAACAACATCTTCCCTTTCTCCTAGCAGCTTGGAAAGTAGTGAATAGAAATCACCTGTGGAAAAAAAGAGAAGAGATAAGAAGTGTAGAGTTCATAAGTTTGCAACATTTGTAAAATTTTGTGCCTGAAAAATATCTCCTGATTCCTCACTATAAGTGAGAGAGAAAGTTGCTCTCAGACGTTCAGGCATGGGGGGTGAGGAGGGGAGGTGATTTTCCAGAACAATGAAAAAATAATATGCTCCACATTTCATTTTATAAACCGCCCACTACTTTCTGTTATCTCAGAAGTCAACAATACCAGATAACCTCTATTAGCATAATAGTAGAAATAAAATAATGCATATGTGATTGCATGGCATGTTTCAATAAATGGTTTTCACAATATATTTGGATTGATTTGGAAGTCAGAGTTCGTCAGCTTTCTAAAATAAAATATTATCAACAGCTAAGCCAGAAAACAGTTATCTTTATAGACAAACCCTTTGAAGTTGTCTTTAAAAGCCTATTAAAGTGTAATTCACAAAATATTAAATGTATTTTTTTGAGCAAATGCTACAAATTACAAAAACCTAACATCTACTTGGCAACTGGAAAACCAAAGCTGTATTATTATTATTATTATCATTATTATTTTGTTACATGTGCTACTGTAAGTAGCTCTAGTTATCCATTTTAAAGAAGAAATGGACAAATTCCAGAAATACAGTTTTATGAGAAAAGAATACTTTTAAATACGTTGCAAGCAAAAGAGAAGGTTTTAACAAACTAGTACCCCTGAAATGATTCATCAATAAAATGTATTCCATGTCTTCCCGTACTCAGAAGTAAACCTGGATATGATAACATAACTCTATGAAAACAAATTATTTATAAAATGTTATGACATATAAAATACGACTATGGAAGGTCCATGAAGTATTCTAACCCTCATCATTCCCATCTATGGTTCCAATCCATTTACATCAAATGTGTGAATGGGAAACATATATGTGTTCTCAATGAAAACACAGAACTGCTTTCCTAACTCAAACCCAGAGGTGACCCACAGCTCTTCCTTTTCCTCACTCTAAGTGCTGCTAACGAAATTACTTATGACTATGGAGTCCTATTGCTTACGTTTTAATTACATTTATAGCATGATCAGATAACATTTATAAAATCTTTTTATGACCATGAGGAAATAAAAATAATGCCTGGCTTAGCCAGGACACATTCCACTGAAGAACATGTTATTAGAATATTGGTGCAAAGGGATATGAAGTCTTTCCGAAATGATGCTAAGAGATCTGTCAAATTTACCAATAATCTTGGTTTAATGATTCAAAGTAGGTTTTCAATTCTTGCCCATGAAAGCAGCTCATCCCAGGTAAAATCTTCAATCAGAAAATAATTACCAAGTATTAGGGCCAATGTCAGTAAAATGAACAAAGCAAATTACAGTGCAACCCATTCCAGAAGGCCACAGTGGCATTCTGCCTCACAGAAGAGAAATTTATCTATGGCTGCGAATCTCTCCTGTCCATATGCTAAATATAAATAGCATAATAAGCTGCTGTGCAAGGAAACATTTCATATAGAAAAAAAAAACACCCAGATGATTTCAGGGACAGATAAAGAACATCTCTCTAAAACTTGAATCCATGACATTAGGCTAATATTGATAGAGGAACACAGGCTTAGAACTGTGCATACTCAGGTTTGTCAGTAAAAATCAAAAAGATGTGATACATGCAGAGCACTTGGTTCCTCTGAAATGACCACTTACAATTATCACTGGGTTAGGAAAACAAAAGCCTAGCAATGTAATAGGCTTGCCTGCACACAGACGGCCCTGGCCTGGTGAGAACACAGCTTCAGAGCAGCAGCACGCTCACAGAGAGCACATGCGGGAGACCACTAGGTGGCTGTCTCTTACATCCTTACACACAAACCAGAGGGGTTTTTTTGTTTTCTTCCCCTCTCTTCTGGTGTTTTCAATGTTATGAAATCCTGAAACGTTAACCATTTCTCTTAGTCATACTGAGATCTTGACTTAGGAAATCTATCTAACCTCGAGTGCAACGGATGGAGTATGGAGTAGAGTCTAAACAGAAGAAGTTGCGTGGTCTCTACCCCAGTTTCGTCTCTCAGCGTTCTTTCTTTTCAGTTTATACTATAGCCATATTGGACTTTCAGTTCCTTGAATGTCAACTCTAAGAAGATGCTGTTTCTTCTTCCCGGGTCATTCTCTCCCCGGTTATCAACTTGTTCCTCAACCTTCAGAAGTTACTTAGGTGTCACTTACATCCAAGAAGCCTTCCTTGACAATCAAATCAGGTGTCACTGCTGTGTGCACCTACTGTACTCTGCTCCTTCCCTGTATTGTTACTACCCCAAATCCGGTCCGTATTTCACACTAGCTTTCAAATCCAACCCCTGACACTTAATAGCTACTTTGTGCCCTTAAGCAAGTTACTTAACCTTTTAAAATAGGTAACAGACAGCTACCCTTAAGAACTGTTTCGTGGATTTAAAGAAGATAGTTAACGTAAAATGCCCAGTCCAGCATATACCACTAAGCAGGTATCACTAAATTGTAGCCATTATAATTACTACTACTACTAATATAAACTCAAGTTGCAACATGCATCTGCTTTGATCTACTGTTTACCTAAAATTAAAAAAATCAGTTCCTATTTTATGTACTGGGATTTTCACAATGGAAAAAAGCCACCTTTAAATTTGCAGTCCTCTATTTTCTCAACAGGTCACTGTGGCTCCCATTGTGATTTGCTTCCAGGCTTTGCCAAAGGAGATGGTACCTGCACTTTCTTTAACTTCTTTTGAGTCTGTTTTTGGAGAAGGAACTATACCTACTCCAACGTTCCGGAGGCCAGCCCTCCCTGAGCCGCCTAGAGCCTTTCCTATCTGCTTTTTCTTCCTACTCTAATACAACTTCTCCTCCAAAGATTTGACTCAGGCTACAAACACACTCCCTTCAAGCTTATCCTGGGTGGCCATGGAAGCGAGAAGAGACTCTCCTTTGACACAATGTCTTTCAAGCTTTTCCACTTCCCCTCTTCCTTTAACAAGTTCCAGCGCCATCTACATTTCTGTGATAATGGAAATAGTCTGCATACCGGTTCTGTCCAACATGATAGCCCCTAGACACGTGGGGCTGCTGAGTACTCGTAGTGGCTAGTGTGATTGAGAAACTTAATTTTTAAGTTTGCTTACTTTTAATTCATTTATATTCAAATTTAAACAGCCACATGTGGTTCGCGTCTACCGCACTGGACAGTGCGGGGTTACGTGCTGCTGCTTCATCCTTCCTCACAGCCTCTTCCTGAATCGAAGGCATCTGTTCCCACTCCCTCCTTCACTCCTGCATGGCTTCTGCATGAGCT